CCTTGACACAGTGGCAAGCTGACCTGTATCTTATATGGAAGAATTAGATTTGACTCTGGGGCTCAGGTGCAGAGGGCAGGAGGGGCATAGGGGTGGCCTTCATGGAAGAAAACAAGTCCTTGGATACTGAGTAACAGCTGAGACTAGCAAGCCTTATTGTCCAGGATTCCAAGTTGTCTAGCAACATCCTGGCCTCTGCTGCAGAGAGAACAGAGGATCCCCCGGCAGAATGAATGGAGTCTGATTTCAATTACGTTCAGTATAGTCACTCTCTTTAGGCAGAGAAGCCAGAACACCTGGTGCAGCTAGGGCCACTGTGGTCACAGGGGCAAGCACACTACCTGGGTCCTGGAGGCAAGTGGGAATGCAGCTTCTCTTCCTTAAGCAGATGCCATATAGGCCTGGGGAGGAGAATGTGAGAATACCAGCCAAGTTCTCATTGGCACTATATGGAGAAAGGGAAATTATTTCATCTTGATGGATTCTCCCCACAGTCTCTGCACATATTGATCTTACTTGTAATGAGTTTGTTCAGATTCACGAGTCATCATCCCAGGGAGATCTGAGTCATTGGTGGGAAAGTTGAGGTGACAGATTATATCTCGCTGATCTCACTGTCACCAATTGCTCTGTGTGTCCCTCCACCTTTTGAAAAAGTCCATGGAATCATTTGTGTATAATTCATTTGGATTTATTTCTTATTTATCAATAGCTTTAGTGGGGTATTGTAAATGGGAAAGCTACCCCAGAGAACAGTGTGCATTCACAGTATTATTCAATAGAACTTTCTGAGATGATGAAAATCTTCTATATCTTATGTTGTCCAGTATAATACAGCAGCTAACTACATGTAGCTTTTGAACACTGAAAATGTGGCTAGTGAGACTGAGGGATTCTATTTTTAATTTTTTAATGTTGTAATTAATTTAATTTTTAAAAATTTTTGCTTTCTATTTTATAGCTTAATAATTAAACTAAACTTACATAGCCCACATGTGGCTAGTTGGTCACTATACTGGACAGTACAAGTCTAGAAAGATCTCAGAGAGACACATGCTGAGATACAGCAGGAATAGGTTAGTCAGAAAGAGAGCCAATGTAACATAGGGAATTCTGGATTGGGAATTAGAGCCCTGGCTCTAATCTCAGCTCTGCCACTATGTGACCTTGCCCTCTCTGGCTTCAGCCTCCCCATCTTTAACTTGAAAGGTTAAACTAACTAACGTCAAAAGTCCCAAAATCGTGGCTGTGGACTGAATTCAATTTGGGATACATAAGTTTCAGGAATTTTTTTAAAAATCTATTAATGCCTTCTAGGTGTGTGTATGCACGCTTACAGGCATGTACCCATGCACAAGCATGGGACGGCAGTAAGGCATTCATTCCAGTTCACCAGTGTACTAACCATTCACACACACACACACACACACACACACACACACACACACACTGTCATGCATACACACCCTACTGTATTGCCTATGTAGACCCTGAAGGTCTTTGAATCTGTCACCATTGGATAAGATAATTTCTAACGACCCTTCCCGTTTTGTCATGCTGAAAATCTTTAAGCCACTATAGTATCCCCAATCTATTTCAATTTGGGCAGATGACTGGAGTATTCTCATAGCTTCCTGTCTCTTCCCCTCTGAATTTGATACTAGTTATGAAGTTTGGCATCAAGGATGAAGAAGGGAGGCAGGGAGGATATAACCCCAGCCCCACTCCTTAACTCCGCTTTTGGATTAGAAGTAGCGTTCAGGGCTTCAGATTCCTTGGGGAGGAAGTAGAGAGAATATGGTCTTTGTAATCAGAAGATGGGGTTCAGATGATTGGGTTCTCACTTTTTCGATAGCTGTGTTACCTCAGTTTATTCATTTGTAAAATAGGGATAAGAAATATCTTTAACCTCCTAAGATGATGTGGAATTAAGTGATGTAACGTGATGAAGCGAGGCATGCAGAAGGCCCTGAAAAAATAGTAGTTACCCTTAAGGGAACTAAATGGTCTGGCAACTTGTGAGCTCAAAGCTAGAAAGGCCCGGTGATGGGGAAGATGGGGTCTTTCTGCAGGAACTACAGCAGAGGAGCAGATCCTGTAGGCCACCAGTCTGTGGAGCTGTGTCCAAGAACTCATGTTTGCAACAAGTTCACCAAATGACAAGATATTGTGGGGTCCAGGCCTCTAACTCAAGAAGATGGTCTTGGCCCAAATCATACCTTACAGCCTGTGCCTTTGGTGGGATGTGAGTGTTGGCAGTGGCTATGCATATCTCTTTATTACTGGCTGTGCCCAAGCCCTGCAGAAATTATTGTTGGACAAGGTCATCTTGCACTCAGGGTTGGTTTTCCAGGCTTCCTTGTTATTTTCCCCTGAGTTCTTCTGTGTTCCTCTTGCAACACCAACCCCACCATTTCCCTCTTCCCTACCTTAGTTGTTGGTCCAAACATGTAATCCATTCTTGCAGTGATTTATTGAGTGATACCGTAACTGGAGTTTGCAGTGAAGGACTTATTTTTCTAATTAGAACTAAAAGTCAGTTCCAGGCTGGGTGTGGTGGCTCACGCCTGTAATCCCAGCACTCTGGGAGGCCGAGATGGAAGGATTGCTTAAGGCCAGGAGTTTGAGTCCAGCCTGGGCAACATAGTGAGATCCCATCTCTAGAAAAAAACATGTTAGCCAGGAGTGGTAGTGTACACCTCTGGTCCCAGCTACTTGGGAGACTGAGGAGGGAGAATTTCTTGAGCCCAGGAAGTTGAGGCTACAGTGAGCTTTTATCGTGCCATTGCTCTCCAGCTTGGGTGACAGAGGGAGATCCTGCCTCAAAAAATAAATAAAAACTACAAAAAAAAAAAAAATGTCTGTTCCAGGTTGTATCTTTTTTCACAGGGGCCAGACGCAGATGAGGAGTAGATTTTGTTGTATTTATCCATTTAAATTGAGCAATCAGCTTCTCTCTTTGGTTTATACCTTTCTTATTTATTATTATTATTTTAAAAGGATTAGAGATAAAGTGCTTTATGGTCTTTCTCAGTGCAACTGCTTATGCTAGACCTCAGAATTATGACCTCTTCAATTATTTATATTTCCGTCTTTATAAATATTGGAAAAAATAGTACAAAGTAAACATCGGGATGCCTAAGGACCTCTAAATTGTGTGTGAGCACATGGGGAAGATGGTTCTTAAGGTTTGAGTTTTGGATTATTGTGGTTGTCTTAAATAATGTTATTTCTATCATTCCTTCCAATGGCTGTCTCCTAGCATGGTTCCCATTTTACAGACTGATGGTAGAGGCAGAAAGATTCTCTCACTTCTTTGATAGTATTGAGGATTTCAGCCTTTCACCGCTCCTCTCCCCTTTGCTAAAAAAGAAAAAAATCAGTATGTATGTTATAGTGTATGTTCAACTATGAGCAACTATGTGTATTCAATGAGAAATGGAATACCATAAAATTACCATAGTTGAACCAAAATGATAGGATAGAATTTGATAGTCTGAGGATGGAAGGGAACTTCAAGGCCACTTTAAAAAAACCCATTCCCATATAATGCTTGAATTCTTAACCACTGTGCATCTAGTATTTGATCATTTCCAGTGATATGTGTGCCTGGCAACTTTTCCATCTCCCAGCGCTTTAACTATCAAAATGTATGTGTGTGTGTGTGTGTGTGTGTGTGTGTGCATGTATGTGTGTGTGTTTAGAGACACAGAGAGACAGAAAGAGAAAGAGAGATTAAAATCCAAGTCACTGTTCTTTCTGGGACCCAAAAAACAAGTCTAGTCATTCTCCATTTCTAGTCTCTTTCCCTAGCAATCGGCTAGACATGCTAGACATAGACACATGTACATCACTCCTTTGATTTACAGCATTCAGTATTTGTCTATCACTTATAAGATAAAACCCATACTTACTTTTTATTTTTATTTTTTTAGAGACAGTGCTTTACTATGTCACCCAGGCTAGAGCATCAGTGGCACAATCATAGCTCACTGCAGCCTGGAACTGCTGGGCTCAAGCAATCCTTCCACCTCTGCCTCCTGAGTAGCAGAGACTACAGATGTGCACCACCAGACCCGGCTAATTTAGTTTTTTACTAATTTTGTGGAGATGGTGTAGTGTCTTGCTATGTTGCTCAGGCTGATCTTGAGGTCCTGGCCTCAAGCACTCCTCCCATCTCAGCCTTCCAAAATGCTGGGATTACAGGCATGAACCACCTTACTCAGCCAGATTTCTTAATATGATATACATGCTCCTTTAAAATCAAGCACCATCTTTGCTTTCAACCCCATTATTAACCACTTTCCCATATATGCAACATATGCTTCAGTCATACTAGTCTCTAGTTGTTCCCCAAACACTCCTCAGTGCTTTTGTTTATGCCCTTTCTGCCCACCTTTGCCTGGTGAAATCCTCATCAATCTTCAAATTCTAGGTCAAATACTATCTTTCATATAAAGCATTTTCTAAACCCACCTATGTAAAAAGATTAGTGGTTTCCTATTTTGTTGATGCCTCCATTGCAGCATTTTCCAGTCTGACTTTTTCTAGAATTGACTGTGGCAAGGCTACCAGCCTGGGCCAGGGCCTGTGTCTTTTCTGTCACCCAGAAGCAAAGGTCTAACAATGGATATCTGCTGAATGAATGAATGAAAATGAATCATTAATATATTAGTAAATGAGTTAATTAAAGGTTCCAGGTATGAATACTGAAGCCTGCATTGAGGCAGAGCTGAATCCAAGACTATGTTAGGTTGGTCTGGCACAAGAATCAGAGTTTTCCTCTGCAAGCTATGAAAAATTTGGGTTTAGCACCGATTTGGGATGACGAATTATACATTCAACCAGTGTTGAATGAGCACTTGTCCTTAAGGAGTTTAGAGTCTGTGACCAGGGAGAATGATGATTTTCTTAGCTCGGGCAGTTTTTCTAACAAGGTAGTTGCATTGTGTGTTTTTGAACACTGATGATAAATTCAAGTTTCTCTTCCTTCCCCATAGCCCGAAAGCTGAAGAAACTTGGTAATCTGAAACTACAGGAGGAAGGAGAGGCTTCCAGCACCACCAGCCCCACTGAGGAGACAGCCCAGAAGCTGACAGTGTCACACATTGAAGGCTATGAATGTCAGCCCATCTTTCTGAATGTCCTGGAAGCCATTGAGCCAGGTGTGGTGTGTGCTGGACATGACAACAACCAGCCCGACTCCTTCGCAGCCTTGCTCTCTAGCCTCAATGAACTGGGAGAGAGACAGCTTGTACATGTGGTCAAGTGGGCCAAGGCCTTGCCTGGTAAGGAAAAGGGAAGTGGGAGCATGAGATAAGGGGGATCATATTTAGTGAACGCTCCTATGGGCCAGCCACCACGTCTGGTGCTTTTCTGCCCATTAACTCAGGTAGTCTTCATCGTAACCCTATGGGAGAGGGATTGTTATAAATCTCACTTTAAACATACAGGGATTGAGACTCAGAAAGCAAAGAGAAAGATAGTATTATAAGGTGTCCTATGTGGCCCACATTGATGCACAGCAGTCATGCTTTCACATTTAACTCACAGAAATGGTCAGCAAAATTTCCCTTAATCACAAAAATCACATAGACATACCCATATATGCCTTAGGATGCTCTTCTATATTTGCACACACAGGCTCACCCCAAAGATAATCTCCAGCCTGACTGACATTCTGTCTTCAGTGTCACCTTTAGGAACTATATCATGGGAACTCTCATAATATGATATGGTAGAAAGAACATGAGGTTGGGAATCAGAACACTTCAGATCAGATCTACTTTTAGTTCTGCTAGTAACTTATTGTGTGATCCCTTCCCCTTCTGGGTCTCAATTTCTCTATCTATATAATGTATAAAGCATGGTTTGTACCAAATTGATGGTTTTCAAATTTTGCTTCAAGGAATGCTTTGTGCACTTTAAACTACCTAAGGAATCATAATAGGAGGAAAGATTAGGTGATAGTGAAAGAATTATCGACTGTTGGTCTAACGGAAGTTGGATAACAGAAGTTCCCCAGTGATGGGGAACTCACTTCTTTCTTATGTCATCTGTTGCTTAAACAAGTCCGATTATTAAAATATTACAGCTTAAGTAATTCTTAGAGATCCTCTATCCAATGATTCACAAACTTTCATTTAACAGCCAGGTGCTTTATTTCTCAAAAGAATTGTACACAGATATGAGTGGAGCTAGTTTATTTAAAGCCAGAGTCTGTGGCTTGGGCCTCACCAGTTCAGCCTCTTTCTCTCTATCCCAGGGAAGCTCCCAGGTCGCTCTTGCAAAATCTTAGGGCTCCGAGGAACACAGTTTGAAAACCAGTGAAGTATATGCTCTTTAAAGGTTCTCCTAATCTTGCAATTATGATTCAAAGACTCTTTTGGAATAATAACAACTAAACCTTCTCTTGTGGAGTCAAAGATTAACCTGCCTTTCAATAATAACTGCCATTCAGGTAGAAATGTATAGTGAACAGAGCAATTTTGTATATATTACCTGAATTGATTCTTATAGGAATCCTATAAAATGAGATTCTTTCTCCTGTTTTACAGACCAAATAGGGAAGCTGTGAGAATGATGTGATTGGCCTATAGTTACATAGTCAGAAAATAACAGGACCAGAACTTGAGCCCAGGTTCTCTCCTGATTCCAAATCCTCCCTTTATTCCACTCCACCTGTAGGCTGCAGCACCACTGCAGTTCTGTAACTCTGGGCTTTACAGTGAGGGGCCAAGGCTTCACTGAAGGCCACTTGGGTCACACTGTGGGCTTGCTGCATTTGAAGACATTGCATGTTGGCTGTCAAGTCTTAGATTTGTATTTCCAACTCACAGGTTAGGCCTGGTCACAGCCCTAACCATCTCTTGCACCTTCTCAGCTTGGGAAGCTGAGGTTGACTAGGCAATAAGATCACTGGGAAGGAAACCCAAGGACTCTGATTGGATATGTTCTGTGTCAAAGCAGAGGGTTCACGCAGAGAGGAAAAATATAAAAAAGAAAAAGGAGAAAGCTGCTTTAATTCTTATCACTTTTTCATCTGGATATTTTGATATCATGTGTTTGACAAAGATTCAAAGTTTAATCTTCCCAAGCAGTTTCCAAACACTTATCTCATTTTATAAGTTACAGAGCTTTTTCATATATATGATCTCACTTAATCCTCACAACAATTCTATGAATCATAGAGACTATTATTTCCATTTCACATGCCAAGGCTCAAAGAGGATAACTAACTTGCTCCATTTGGTCACTTAACACATGGAACCAGAACTTGACCTAGACCTTCAGGTTTCTAAATTGGTTATCTTGACAATAACCTAGTGCAAAACTCTATAGCAGAATTTGTATGACTTGGGATCACTGGGGCTTTCCTTGGCCCAGTCACCAGGATGGAAAGCCCCCTCCTCTTACATTAACAAATCTGCAAACCAATATCAGTTCACCATCTAGCTTGCCAGACTAAATGATCTCTGACTCCGAGTCTTTTAAAAGAATAGCTTCAAAAGAAAGCCAATTACCACATTCATAAGAACTGTTCTTCATATTATCTATAATTACCTACAAGTTCAAGTAATTCACTAATTCAATAGATTGAGTTCTTGACCTGTAAAATGAACTGTGCTAGGCCCCTAATAAGATAAATTTTGTTGTAAGTTTTCTACGACAGTAATGATGTATGGAAATTGCCTAGTAGAGTACCTGGCACATTAATAAATGATAACTATTAATTTAGAGTGGGTGAGTAGACTGGGTGTGCATAGTATATTTAGAATCTAATTTATCTGGTTTGGAATCCTAGCTATGGACTAGTTCTGTGACCTTGAGTAAATCACATGTCTTCTCTGTGCTTCTGTGTCCTCATTTGTAAGATGATAGAATAATTGCTACCTTTCAAATTGTCGTCAACAAAGAGATTATGTATAAAGAGCACCTAGTAAGGTAGCCTGAAACATAGTAGATGCTCTGTAAATGGTGGTTTATTATTATGAGACTTGAGTGCTAAGCCACTGCTTTCATGAAACTCAATTTTAGCTACCACTTGCCTTGCCTGCTCATGCATGGACCACAAGATGAAATTGTCTTCTCTGAAGACCTTGGCAGGCAGATGCACTACAGCAGCAAAGATTTCCAAACTGGCCTTTCTTTGAGCCTATTCTCCCAGACTAGACATGAGACTACAAGTTTCTGCTGCACATGAAAAAAATATGATGTCAGTTGGATTCTAGTGAGAAAACAGAGTGTCTAATAAACTGCTTCTGCTCCCTAGCCTGTTTAATGTGTTTCAAAACCTGAGAATGACTCCTCTCTGTTTCTCCAGAACAGACTAACACAATGGCAAATGGGCGTTGAGTGAATGCATACTTAAGGAAATCTGTAGGGCTGCGGCTACTCTTTCCTCAAGTAATCCCTTGATAGTCATGCAGGCTACTTCAGAGATTGGGCATTAGAGAACAGAGTCAGGTATTATAATCAGATTAGACTCTAGGGAGATTAGCCAGCCATATTGCTGATATGTGCACAGTTACTGGGCTTCCGTGCTAAGCAGCTCTCATTAAGCACAGTTAATTAATATTATGGCCAACTTAAGCTTTCCCTTTTCTCTCCTGTTTGTTGGTTCGGCAGCATTTTAGGGAGAAAAAAATAAGCATCAGTATGGACAATTTGCTTCATACCTGTACAATTTAATTCTCATCCTTCCATGTGCTTTCACATTCACACACTCCACTAGAAGACCAAGGTTCACCAGCCAAAGACTTTTCTTGCTCCCCACTGCCTCCTACCCAAGATATTCAGGGTTCAACCTCCCAGGCCTCTTCTCTAAGAGATCCCTGGTTGCTACATGCCTAGACCCTGCCCCTTATTTCCTACTGAGAAGGGTCAGTCCAAGGCATTCTGTGCTACAGAAGGGTTCCAGGCAGCAACTACTCTGGGATCTGAGGCTCCAGCCAGTCTGTCAGTGTGTTGTTACGGTGAAGGTGGGAAGCACAGGCCTGGGAGCTAAGACTGCCAAGATGAGGTACTCTAGAATCCCTGATATCTGGAAGGCTTAGGATCTAAAAGAAAAGAACAGGGAAATGGGGTTATATGAGTGGACAGGGACCAACCAAGCAGAACAATGTATCTGGATAATGTAGACTTCAGACCTGATCCTATGGCTGACAAAAGTTGGTGACCTTGGTGGTTCCTGAGCTGTAACCTTCAGCAGTGGAGTAGAAAAAACACTGGAGAACAGAATCAGAACACCTGGGTTCTAGTATTAGTTCAGCCACATATAAACCATATGACCTTGGGCAAGTCAATTTATTTCTCTGGCCCTCATGTTCCTTGTTGGTAAAATAAGTGCCACATCACCTAACCTCTGGGATTATTGTGAGAGTTAAATTAGGTCATCAACAGGAAAGTGAGAAGTTTGGTCTACATTTGGGGAAGCATTCCTAATGAGGTATGATGACAAAATTTCAGATAATTCTGGATTTGTTAGTGAGAAGAGAGAGTATTGGTAGGGATGAGCTCTGAGGTGATACCTTTATAACTTTAAGCATCCAACTGTTTCAGAACCTCCAGGAGAACATGGCCATGTCTGTACTACCTGTGTGTTATTGTAGAGGTAGCATCTGGGAGCCTCTGCTCTCTGAGCTTAAGGGAGGTAATTTGGAGATCATTTAATTCTCATTTTATAAAAGGAAAACAAATTGAGGATCTTTAGGCCATTTGTTTAGGTTTCTTAAGTGCCCACTCAAATACATGGACTGTACTAAGTACTAGGGAGGTAAACTTGAATGTGAAGATATGGTCCCTGTCTTCAAGAAGCTCTAAGTCTTGTGGGGGAGACAGACATGTATATACATAGATTTCAATGCTGTGTAATGAGTGCTATAACTGCGTGAGGCTACACAAGGAGCAATGAGAATGTAAAATAAGAATCTTTAAGCCTTCTTCTTGGATGAGTTGGAAAAGCCTTCACAGAAGAGGTAGCCTTTGAGTGAAGACTTGAAAGATGAGTAGGTGTTTAACTGGATGAAAGTCCTGAGAAGGAGGAATGCATTCTAGGCAAAAGCAACTGCCTGTGCAGAGATAACAGAGATATAGAGGCATGTGAGAGGGCAAGTGGCAACAGATCAGTCTAGGCAGCAGGTCATAAAGGGCCTGTTCATATATAATGATGGCAGTAAGATGGGGATGGCAGTAAGGTGGGAAACTAGTAGGGCCAGGCTACCTATTGAGTAGAAAAGAATGGAGAGGAACTGCCAGGCAGAAAGTGGGATGGACGCAAGAGAGGGAACATGAAAGTGGTCAACAGGAGGCAGTGGCTGTCAAGACATCTCTCCATACACTGTACACTGTATGTAATATCCGTCTCCCAGGGTTGTTAGAAGGGTCAAACCAGCTCATAGCTGGAAAAGAGCTTTGTGAAGTGAAAACTGCTGTTTATGTGGGAGAAATGATGTTATCCTGCATCTTCGGAAAGGTAGAGTGATCAAGAGCACAGACCTTGGAATCTGACTGCTTTGCTTTGGAACTTGGTCTACCAATTACTAGCTGTATGATATTGGACAAGTTCCTTAATCTCTCTCTGACTCACTTGTACTGGTTCACAGAATGGAGATAATAATAGTACCTACTTTACTCATTGTTGTGAATATTAAATGAGATAATATAAGTAAAGTGCTTAGAAAAGAGTTAAATATGCCCCATAAATACATACAACTATCATATACCCAAAATAATTTTTAAGTTTTTTTAAAAAAAGCAATCCAATGGAAATCAAAAGAAAAAAAGAGTTTACTCGTATATGCAGTCAATAAGTGTTAGATTATTTTTCTCTTACAACTGACGATGCCCTTTTTTTCCTCCATCATCATCTCATTTGAGCAGCTCAGTGATGTAGGGAGGACAACGAATATTATCCTCACCATATAGTTTGTGCTTTTCCCCACCACCCCTCAGTGGCCAGTCTGGATGGTCCCTGGGGATCCTTAGGGGATGTCCGAATGCCAGAGCATCTCTGCCCAGCAGGGGCTCAGACTTAGCTCAGCCCGTCAGTACCCAGATTGACCACTGCCTCTGCCTCTTCTCCAGGCTTCCGCAACTTACACGTGGACGACCAGATGGCTGTCATTCAGTACTCCTGGATGGGGCTCATGGTGTTTGCCATGGGCTGGCGATCCTTCACCAATGTCAACTCCAGGATGCTCTACTTTGCCCCTGATCTGGTTTTCAATGAGTAAGTGCTCCTGGGGCCCAGACCTCACTAAAATACAGCAGCTTGGCCAGACCCAGTTGGTGGTGATGGTGATGGAGTGACAGTGAAGCTTACCTCATTTGACCTGCAGGTGTGGCACTGGATGCCCCAGCCAGCCAACTCGGTATGAGGCAGCTTTGCCCTGGCTTTCAGCCAACTGGTAGGAGCTGAGGAGGATGGTGCTGAGACTACCCCTTTCACACCCAAGAACCAATCCTGGTCGTGTTTCTGGTCTCCTTTTCAGCTTATCTCAGAACCACATGGAAAGATTCCTCCCCTTCACTTTGAGCAACATATAAAAGAGGCAGAAAGACTCTGGCTTTAAGGGATGAAGTTTCTTGGGTTCTGTTGCTACCACCAAAGGCTACTGCTAGTCACCACTTGCTGAGCAACTAGTTTGTGCCAAGAATATGCTAGATACTTTCTAAATCCTATCTCATTGAGTCCTTATGGTGACCTGACCTCCCCTTTTTATAGATAACTCTATTTTTTTTATGGACGGGGAAAGTCAGGCTCAGCAAAATAAAGTGACTCACCCAAAGTCACAGAGCTAGTGCCTGTTGGAGAGAAGATTCAAATGTATTTCCGTGTGAATCCCAGCTCTTCTGCGTCATGGTGGTAACTGATGGGGAGGAGTACCTCTACCACTCTCTGTCTGTGTGACCTTGGTACTGCCATTTTCTTTCTCTTAAACAGCTTTAATTAATACCTGCCCTGCCACTAGCTCTATATAACATCATGAATTTAGCCAGTGGCTCAGATTTTGGAATTACATTTTTCTCCACTAAAATCTCAGTTCTATTATTTTCTTAATCAGCATCTTTGGGAAAGACCCTTAACTTTTCTGACCCCCAATTTCTTCATCAATTAATGATAATAGAAACTTCATAAGTAATTTCTTATGATAACTAAATGGGAACTGACAGATGTGGAATGTCTGGCCCATAGTGGGCAAGAAGAAAAAAAAAAAGTCCCTTTCTGATCCACCGTTCCCTAATAGTGATATTTTTTTTCCCCCGAGATGGAGTTTGGCGCTGCCACCCAGGCTGGAGGGTGGTGGTGCAATGATCTCGGCCCACTGCAACCTCCACCTCTCTGGTTCAAGCAATTCTCCTGCCTCAGCTTTCTGAGTAGCTGGGCTTATAGATGCCAGCCAGCATGTCCAGCTAATTTTTGTATTTTTGGTAGAGATGGGATTTCACCATGTTAGCCAGGCTGGTCTTGAACTCCTGACCTCATTATCTGCCCACCTCAGCCGGGCATGATAATCTTTTCTATGTCTGCTGTATGAGGTCCCTCAATGGCATAATGAATGGAGCTGGCCAGAGAAATCTTCCCAAGGACCTTGAGCTAGTCTCCCCACAGAGAATCCTTCCAGTCAGGACAGGAATTGACCTTCCCCCCTCTTCAGCCCTCTAACCCAGAAGAGTCTTAAAATAAAATCTACAGGCCAGTGGTTCCTTCCAGTACAGCACTGCAATGTGAGGGAGAGTGAGCGTCCCCAGCTGCCCTCTCCCAACCCTGCCAGCCTGGTAGCCAGAAGCTAAGAATAACCACTAGGCTTTTGGCACAAACTGCTTTGTGGTTTTCAGACCTCCAAAAAGTTGCCTATGATGCCATCTTCTGGGGCAGGCCTTGAAAAGCCCCCTAACTGTTCATCTCCCATCCTCAAACCCCTGCTGCCCTTAAGCAATTGAATCAACTCCATGAGCACCTGCTCTACCTTCCCCAGAGCTCTGAGACCTTTGGAGCTTTGAAAAGTGATAATTGGCTGTTCTCTAAATCCTCATTTCCTTCTCTACCTCTGAGTAAGCATGTGGCATCCCACCTCAGCTTCCTGGTCCAGTCTTGTTCAGCTTATAAAAAGGCCTCCCCACAGGGTCAGAGGCCTAGACCCATCAAATCCCAGGGCTCCTGAAACAATAGGACCCCTATTCCTCCTGTAGGAGGCGACTATGTTAGAACTCTCAGTGTGTCTACAAACATCTAGATAAGTGTTTCTCAACATGGATTATTTTGACATATTGGGAAAAATAATTTTGTCAATATGTAGAATATGGTTGACATACCTGGCACCAGCCTACTTTATACCAAAGAGGATTCCAGTCATTCTGACAGCCCAAACTGCTCCCACACATTTCTAACACCCACTGAAGAAGCAGTACTCTCTAGTTGAGAGTGACTAATTGCTGCCAGCCTCCCTAAGGTGCTAATGGGGAGCCTCAGACCCAAAGAGAGAGATAAGAACTTATTCAAAGTAGGTCAACCCATTTGCTGATCTCTTCAACACCAAACTCTATTATCAGCCCTGTTTTTTTCTTTCCTTCTCTCTTTGTAGAGATCACATGTTGTGAGGATAATGAGCCTGAACCTTAGCTGTGTGACCTTGGGCAAATTACTGAACTTCTATGTGCCTCAAATTTTATCTGGAGACTGCTGAAGAGTATTATAATAGCACCTTTCTACATGTCATTTATGGAACACCTGCTATGTGTCAGGCACTGTGCTTAGTGTTTTCCAATCTTCATTTCTCATCTTATTTTCTCTCTTGCACTCCCACCAACCCTGCTCTCCTCCTAAATTCCATTCCTGCCTCATTTTTCTACCCTCCATTCTCCTCTCTCTTCCTTCCTTTAACTGTCTCCCTAGTATTTTTTCCCTTTTTCCCCCTTTCTTGTCCCCTTCCCCTATGAATTTCCTCCCTTTCCTTTCCACTTCTCTTTCCTCCATTCCCCACTTTTTCTGCCCCTGAGGCCTGCAGCAATGTTAAAGGAATCCTCATTCCAGCATTGTGATTTCAATGGTAAAAAAAGATTGCAGCATTGTCATCAACAGAGGTGGGAAAGTACATTGGAGACTGGAGCAGGGCCAGACCTCAGGGTCAGCCAATCTTACTAAAAAATTATCTATAGTGAAAGAGCTTGGAGCAACACTGTTCTGCTCAATTGATTTGTGATACCATCTAAACACTTCCTCTTTCCAGTTGGGCTTCAGCCTGAGTTGAATAATTCTACACCATCTGCCCCCTTCTCTCTTTCTCCAGGACAGCCAAGATCTCTCTGAGATAGGATGCTGAGCTTCCACCCAGACAATACCAGGCCTTCTCATCCTGTGGAGTAGGCTAGTGGCTTCGAAACCAAAATGTCAAACCATAGCCTTTAGACTCCATCTGGGAGGTCTTTGTCCTCACCACTTAAGTGGGTGTCAGATTTCCTTCCCTTTCTGCACATGCTGCACAATCAATTTCTGTCTTACACACACACACACACACACACACACACACAATTTTGAAGTGCTGAAAACTAGAAAGCCTACTAGCATGAGGATGCTGTGTCTTCTCTTAGAGGTATGCCATGGTCAGCCATGGAACCGAGAGGTTGCTCTTCCTTGAAAAGTTGGCCAAGCATTGGCCACTTCCCCGTATAATTTATAGGTGATAATGTGGTGATCTGTTCAGAAGTAACTATAATAAATGCAGCTCACATATGTCTACAGTTTCCAAACTGTGGTAAGGAGCAGCCAGCATATGAGGGAATGGGCTCCCCTTCAGCAGGGGACATTTAAATTAGACATTCAAAAACACTCCCTGGCAGATTTAACATTGAAACTCATTTTGAAAGAACAATGTGGAATCTGCTTCACTGGGAGTTTTTGAAGAAATATTAAATGTCCAGTATTCCAGGCCAGAGGCAAAGGGGTCAACAGGATGACCAAACACTTCGGGTCACTTGCAAATCCTGGTGTCCTGATGTTAAGAGCTGACTACTGGGGCTTCTCCTAAAAATCTTTCATGTTGAGCTGCCTGGGAGGCAGGTTCTTGTTCTGGCTGTAGCTGGGATATTAGAACTGTAGTCAGGGAGACCATGTGTCTGCCCCATTGTGTTCATTTGGTTAGGCTTTCTTGTCCCCGTCTCAGAAAACAGAAGGGGCACAGAGACCTGGAAATTCCGTGCGCTAACCCATATCCTGGCCAGGGAAGATAGTAGTAATCAGGATGTCAGGATTTTGGAAAAGAGAGAGATAGAAAAAAAAAAAAAAAAAAAAAAAACCAAAAACAAAAAAAAACAGACCAACAAGCAAACAAACAAAAACCTCATCCTGATCCCTGAAGCACCAGCAGGAGAAACAGCAAGCTCTTCTTGGAGAACCTGGGGAGGAAGGGCAATCAGGGACATTCCCTCTGGGCTTATTGCAAGCCTCCCCTCATTCCTTTTTCCTCTATGTATCTCCTTCCCAGGTACCGCATGCACAAGTCCCGGATGTACAGCCAGTGTGTCCGAATGAGGCACCTCTCTCAAGAGTTTGGATGGCTCCAAATCACCCCCCAGGAATTCCTGTGCATGAAAGCGCTGCTACTCTTCAGCATTAGTAAGTGCCTAGAGGTGCAGGGAATGCCCCTGAGGGCACAGAGACACAGAGAGGACCACTTTTGCCATTAAAACGTTATTAGGGAGAAGCCAGCTCCTTGACATTTCCCTTCTTCATTTCCCCTCCCCATCCCCACTCTACTCTCCCTCAGTATCATTCTTCTAACAAGAAACAATTTCATGACTAGAAGCCAATGTATTTGCTAGAAGTCAGCTTCCATCGAATTCCCCACCTATCCCTAGTCTATCTTTGGGACAAGGCCTTTTTGACTGGTTATAGCAGGTCTGTGAATTTCTCCACAGCTTCTGCTATAGAAACAAACATGGGCCACCTTGTATTCCTTGCAGGGCAGTAAAGCAGGAGGCATTTCCTCCTGGAAAGATTTCCTCTTCTGCCAACAGGAGGAGGTCTATGTAAGCAACTCAGGTAGGATTTGTTTGGCAGCCAAGGAACTTTTCTTTAATATTTTTCTAAGAAGAGCCCTTTCTTAGCCTCTGTTGAGGGAGAAAGGCAAAATTTGATATTGAAAGCTATATGTTTTAGTTGTCTAAATCAGGGTTTGACTGTAAATGACATAAAAGCTTAGGTCCTAAAAAATGAGTATATGAGAAGAGTAGAAAAAGAAAAGATTCAGGAAATTTGATTTACTTGACTCCCTTCAGATTGGATCCAGCTATCCTTTCCCCTGAGATCTCCCTGACAGACTGAAGGCCCCAAGCCCACAGACTTCAACTAACAGGAAGCCAAGTAGATGGTTCCCTGTGGGGGTGGGGGTCAAGTCTGTGGTCAGAAAACTTGGTGCTTTGTCTAATGTTCCTTCGTGGGCATGCTTCCCCTCCCCATTCTGTCTTCATCCCACATCAGTTCCAGTGGATGGGCTGAAAAATCAAAAATTCTTTGATGAACTTCGAATGAACTACATCAAGGAACTCGATCGTATCATTGCATGCAAAAGAAAAAATCCCACATCCTGCTCAAGGCGTTTCTACCAGCTCACCAAGCTCCTGGACTCTGTGCAGCCTGTAAGCAAATGATGGAGGGTGCTTTATCAGGGAGAACAGCCTGATAGAGCCAATGATAATATGCTTCTCTAGGGTCTGGCACCACCTGTTGGGAGGTGCTTCCATTCCCCTCTGGCTTTGAGTGTGGTCCAGGAAGAAAATGTGGTGAAGAAAGGAACACGGGTCACAGTGTCCCAGCTGGATATTGTGAAAGGGGTGGAGGAGTTGAGAACAGAGCAGTTGGGACTCAGGGAAGGGACTTACAGCAGATGCATTCTCTAGGCAGACAAAACAGACCTGGATGTTTCTCCCCTCTTCTTTGAGTCATGTTCATGTGAGTTTGTCTGTGTGTGTGTGTGTGTGTGTGACAGAGAGAGAGAGGAGAGAGAGAGAGAGAGAGAGAGAGAGAGAGAGAGAGAGATGGAGTATAGAGGCTGGGGTGAGAGCACAAGCTGGAGAAGTCTTGAGTCAGAAAGCTTACAATGGTATAAGACATCGCTTGGGAGCCCTCAGTGACTCCATGGAGACCATCTCTCTCTCTCTCACACACACACACACACACACACACACACACGACCTCATGGGGGAGGACCAAGGAAGGACAGGGAAGGGGGAGGAAACAAAAGACTGAAAGACCAAAAATCAAAGGTTAGGGAAGAGTCTAGCAGAGCCCACCTCCTTGTCAACCCTGTTTTTCTCTCTCTTATTGTTCCCTACAGATTGCGAGAGAGCTGCATCAGTTCACTTTTGACCTGCTAATCAAGTCACACATGGTGAGCGTGGACTTTCCGGAAATGATGGCAGAGATCATCTCTGTGCAAGTGCCCAAGATCCTTTCTGGGAAAGTCAAGCCCATCTATTTCCACACCCAGTGAAGCATTGGAAATCCCTATTTCCTCACCCCAGCTCATGCCCCCTTTCAGATGTCTTCTGCCTGTTATAACTCTGCACTACTCCTCTGCAGTGCCTTGGGGAATTTCCTCTATTGATGTACAGTCTGTCATGAACATGTTCCTGAGTTCTATTTGCTGGGCTTTTTTTTCTCTTTCTCTCCTTTCGTTTTCTTCTTCCCTCCCTATCTAATCCTCCCATGGCAACTTCAGACTTTGCTCCCCATTGTGACTCCTATCTGTGTTTTGAATGGTGTTGTATGCCTTTAAATCTGTGATGATCCTCATGTGGCCCAGTATCAAGTTGTGCTTGTTTACAGCACTACTCTGTGCCAGCCACACAAACGTTTACTTATCTTATGCCACGGGAAGTTTAGAGAGCTAAGATTATCTGGGGAAATCAAAACAAAAGCAAGCAAAAAAAAAAAAAAAAAAAAAAAAAAAAAGGCAAAAACAAAATGAAAAATAATAAGCCAAAAAACCTTGCTAGTGTTTTTTCCTCAAAAATAAATAAATAAATAAATAATTACACACATACAAACAAATATATAGAAATCCCCAAAGAGGCCAATAGTGACTAGAAGGTGAAAATTGCAGGCCCCCGGGGAGTTACTGATTTTTTCATCTCCTCCCTCCATGGGAGACTTTATTTTCTGCCAATGGCTGTTGCCATTAGAGGGCAGAGTGACCCCAGAGCTGAGTTGGGCAGGGGGCTGGACAGAGAGAGAGGAGAGGACAAGGAGGGCAGATGGAACATCAGTACCTGCCCACAGCCTTGGCCCCTGGGGGCTAGACTGCTCAACTGTAGAGCAATTCATTATACTGAAAATGTACTTGTTGAAAATTTGTCTGCATGTTAATGCCTCACCCCCAAACCCTTTTCTTTCTCACTCTCTGCCTCCAACCTCAAATTGACTTTCAATAGTTTTTCTAAGACCTTTGAACTGAATGTTCTCTTTAGCCAAAACTTGGTGACTTCCACAGAAAAGTCAGACCACTGAGAAGAAGGGGAGCAGAGATTTAACCCTTTGTAAGGCCCGGTTTGGATCCAGGTCTGCTTTCTCATGTGTGAGTCAGAGAGGAGCTGGAGCCAGAGGAGAAGAAAGTGATAGCTTGACTGTTCTCCTGCTTAGGACACTGACTGAATAGTTAAACTTTCACTGCCACTACATTTTCCCCACCTTTAAAAGACCTGAATGAAGTTTTCTGCCAAACTCCGTGAAGCCACAAGCACCTTATGTCCTCCATTCAGTGTTTTGTAGGCCCGAACTTCATCACACTGCATTTCAGCCATGGTGGTCAAGCCTGTTTGCTTCTTTTGGGCATGTTCACAGATTCTCTGTTAAGAGCTCCCCCCATCAAGAAGGTTAGCAGGCCAACAGCTCTGACATCTATCTGTAGATGCCAGTAGTCACAAAGATTTCTTACCAACTGTCAGATCGCTGGAGCCCTTAGACAAACTGGAAAGAAGGCATCAAAGGGATCAGACAAACTGGGTGTCTTGCCCTTGTCCCCCAGAGATGATACCCTTCCAGCAAGTGGAGAAGTTCTCACTTCCTTCTTTAGAGCAGCTAAAGGGGCTGCCCAGATCAGGGTTGAAGAGAAAACTCAATTACCAGAGTGGGAAGAATGAAGGCACTAGAACCAGAAACCCTGCAAATGCTCTTCTTGCCACCCAGCATATCCACCTGCCGAAGTCATGAGAAGAGAGAAGGAACAAAGAGGAGACTTTGACTACTGAATTAAAATCTTCAGCGGCAAAGCCTAAAGTCAGATGGACACCATCTGGTGAGTTCACTCATCATCCTCCTCTGCTGCTGATTCTGGGCTCTGACATTGCCCATACTCACTCAGATTCCCCACCTTTGTTGCTGCCTCTTAGTCAGAGGGAGGCCGAACCATTGAGACTTTCTATAGAACCATGGTTTCTTCCGGAAAGGTCTGGTTGGTGTGGCTCCAATACATTGCCACCCATGAACTCAAGGTGTGCCCTGGGACACTGGTTTCATCTAGTCTTTTGGCACGCCTGTGTTCTGTTGACTTCATTCTCCAACCCCAAGTGCAAGGGAAAATGTCCACCTACTTTCTCATCTTGGCCACTGCCTCCTTACTTAGCTCTTAATCTCATCTGTTGAACTCAAGAAATCAAGGGCCAGTCATCAAGCTGCCCATTTTAATTGGTTCACTCTGTTTGTTGAGAGGATAGTTTCTGAGTGACATGATATGATCCACAAGGGTTTCCTTCCCTGATTTCTGCATTGATATTAATAGCCAAACGAACTTGCAAAACAGCTTCTTTAAATAACAAGGGAGAGGGGAACCTAAGATGAGTAATATGCCAATCCAAGACTGCTGGACAAAACTAAAGCTAACAGGTTCCCTTTCTGGGATGGGATAGACACATTCTGGTTTTCTTTATTACTACACCATCTGGCTCATGTACAGGATCACTTTTAGCTGTTTTAAACAGAAAAAAATTCCACCACTCTTTTCAGTTACACTAGGTTACATTTTAATAGGTCCTTTACATCTGTTTTGGAATGATTTTCATCTTTTGTGATACATGGATTGAATTATATCATTCTCATATCTCTCATTGTAAATACTAGAAGCTCTCCTTTACATTTCTCTATCAAATGTTTCATCTTTATGAGTTTCCCAGTTGTGACTCTTGTCACTATGAATATATGTTTTTCATTTGCAAAAGCCAAAAATCAGTGAAACAGCAGTGTAATTAAAAGCAACAACTGGATTACTCCAAATTTCCAAATAACAAGACTAGGGAAAAATAGCCTACACAAGGCTTTAGGCCTTCCCTTTCTGTGCTTGGATTTGAGTGAACAAAGGAGGTTTTAGCTTGGCTCTGTTCTCCCATGGATGAAAGGAGGAGGATTTTTTTTTTCTTTTGGCCATTGATGTTCTAGCCAATGTAATTGACAGAAGTCTCATTTTGCATGCACTCTGCTCTACAAACGGAGTTGGTATGGTTGGTATACTGTACTCACCTGTGAAGGACTGGCCACTCAGACCCACTTACCTGGCGAGCTAGAAGATGAGGATCACTCACCGGAAAAGTCACGAGGACCATCTCCAAACAAGTTGGCGGTGCTTGATGTGGATGAAGAGTGAGGAAGAGAAAAAGAAGGAGCACCAGGGAGAAGACCTCGTCTGTGCCAGGCAGCAGACTGCTGCCAGGATCACGAACTCTGTAGTCAAAGAAAAGAGTCGTGTGGCGGTTTCAGCTCTCGTTCATTGGGCAACTCGCCTGGGCCTAGCCTCTGTGTTGACATGGGAGTTGTTGGATTCTTTGTTTCATAGCTTTTTCTATGCCACAGGCAATGTTGTTGTTCTTGGAAAGTTTATTATTTTTTTTAATTCTCTTACTCTGAGAAAGGGATATTTTGAAGGACTGTCATATATCTTTGAAAAAAGAAAATCTGTAATACATATATTTTTATGTATGTTCACTGGCACTAAAAAAATATAGAGAGCTTCATTCTGTCCTTTGGGTAGTTGCTGAGGTAATTGTCCAGGTTGAAAAACAATGTGCTGATGCTAGAGTCTCTCTCTGTCCATACTCTACTTCCAAATGCATATAGGCATACATAATAAGTTTTATTTGACTTGTACTTTAAGAGAAAATATGTCCACCATCCACATGATACTGACACAAATGAGCTAACATTGAGCTTCAAGTAGCTTCTAAGTGTTCGTTTCACTAGGCACAGCACAGATGTGGCCTTTCCCCCCTTCTCTCCCTTGATATCTGGCAGGGCATAAAGGCCCAGGCCACTTCCTCTGCCCCTTCCCAGCCCTGCACCAAAGCTGCATTTCAGGAGACTCTCTCGAGACAGTCCAGTAACTACCCGAGCATGGCTCCTGCATAGCCCTGGAAAAATAAGAGGCTGGCTGTCTACGAATCATCTTGTGCCAGTTGCCCAGGTGAGAGGGCACTGGGCCAAGGGAGTGGTTTTCATGTTTGACCCACTACAAGGGGTCATGGGAATCAGGAATGCCAAAGTAGCAGACCAAATCCAAAACTTAAAGTCAAAATAAGCCATTCAGCATGTTCAGTTTCTTGGAAAAGGAAGTTTCTACCCCTGATGCCTTTGTAGGCAGATCTGTTCTCACCATTAATCTTTTTGAAAATCTTTTAAAGCAGTTTTTAAAAAGAGAGATGAAAGCATCACATTATGTAACCAAAGATTACATTGTATCTGCTAAGATACCAAAATTCACAAGGGCAGGGAGGGAGCAAGCATTAGTGCCTCTTTGATAAGCTGTCCAAAGACAGACTAAAGGACTTTGCTGGTGACTGACTTATAAGAGTTTTGTGGGGTTTTTTTCCCCTAATAATATACATGTTTGGAAGAGTTGAAAATAATTTTGGGAAAATGGGTTTATGGGTCCTTCACTAAGTGATTTTATAAGTAGAACTGGCTTTCCTTTTCTTTAGTAGTTGCTGAGCAAATTCTTGAAGCTCCATCATTGCATGGTTGGAAATGGAGCTCTTCTTAGCCACTGTGTTTGCTAGTGCCCATGTTAGCTTATCTGAAGATGTGAAACCCTTGCTGATAAGGAATCATTTAAAGTACTAGATTTTGCACTAGAGGGACAGCAGGCAGAAATCCTTATTTCTGCCCACTTTGGATGGCACAAGAAGTTATCTGCAGTTGAAGGCAGAAAGTTGAAATATATTGTAAATGAATATTTGTATCCATGTTTCAAAATTGAAATATATATATATATTTTATATATATATATATACACACACACACACATATATATAGTGTGTGTGTGTGTGTGTGTGCGTGTGCGTGTGTGTGTTCTGATAGCTTTACCTTTCTCTGGATCTTTATATTTGGTTCCAGATCACACCTGATGCCATGTACTTGTGAGAGAGGATGCAGTTATGTTATGGAAGCTCTCTCAGAACAGACAAGACATGTGGATTAATCAGATAACTAAAAGTTTTCTCCCCTATTGGGTCTGACCCACAGGTCCTGTGAAGGAGCAGAGGGGTAAAAAGAGTAGAGGACATGATACATTGTACTTTACTAGTTCAAGACAGATGAATGTGGAAAGTGTAAAAACTCAATGGAACTGATTGAGATTTACCACAGGGAAGGCCCAAACTTGGGGCCAAAAGCCTACCCAAGTGATTGACCAGTGGTGCCCTAATGGGACCTGAGCTATTGGGAGAAGAGAACTGTTCTTTGGTCTTCACCATCCTTGTGAGAGAAGGACAGTTTCCTGCATTGGAACCTGGAGCAAGCGCTCCATCTTTCACACAAATTCCCTCACCTGAGATTGAGGTGCTCCTGTTAATGGGTGTCTGTGTGCTGTAATTCTGGTTTTGGATATGTTCTGTAAAGATTTTGACAAATGAAAATATGTTTTTATCTGTTAAAACTTGTCAGAGTACTAGAAGTTGTATTTCTGTAGG